AATAAAAAAAATATTTTCAAGCGGGTGGAGGTGGGGGATCGAAAGAGGGTGGTCACTTGAACAAAATCCGATAACCTTACCTAGCCTAGCCTAACCTACCCTATTGACGAAGATATTTAAATAATGTTTTATATAACTTCCTCAATATCTTTATATTTTTTTCATTAGTTTTACCTTTGAATATTGTTTGAAAATGACTATATAAACATTTACATTCCTAGAAATGTATAAAAATTGGCATATTTATTAACTTTGAACCCCCATAACTTTTTATGGGGGTGAGACCGCCACGAAATTTTTGTGGTACAGTGGTGAGGGAGACCTCCTCTTTCAATCCCCCCACCCCCACCCCCGATGGGGGCTATCATCTAGACCTTTACCTTTTTATTTGTATTTATTTATTTATTTATCTTATTTCATTCCTAACCTTACCTTCCTTTACGAAATATCGATAACACGTAGCCGTAGTTTTTATAATTTTAGGGGAAGACGTGGTTTTCGCGCCCAATATGCTGTTTATTATTTTTGATCTTTTTGACCAGGATGACGAATAGCAGAACATACTAAATACGCTAATTTTCACCATTACTAAATCTCTTACAACACCCACTTCATTTCGTTACGAGTCGCCACTGCTAATTAAAATTATAATATTTTAGTATTTGTTGTATACGTATTTCTGGCATGACATAAACATAATAATAATATAAAGACAATTAACTAAGTACCTACAATAGACATATACCATTGTTTGTAAAGTAAGAGATATAAAGAAAGATCAATAATAATCTGACGCAACGATTCGCTGTGCAATGCAATACAACACAAATCATTATATCGCATTAAACGAAACAAATTATAATTCTGATTCTGCCGGTTTGAATAAGGCGGGTATTTGTAACAAGTCAAGCGAAGTAATTTAGATAACAAGATAATTATCATAATTTCTCGTTCGATACGATCGCATAACGAGCGTTATAATAAAGAGTTTACAAAGAGCGTCAGGAGCCATCTCTTCGACTTGTTGGCCCATTGTTTCGTCCTCGCCGCTAACTATCGAATAACATCGTAACAACGGCAACAACAACACTAACGCCGTTGTGAGCGCACATAGTTAATCGTAATAATCGTACCGACACCTAAACAATTGCCGGACATGTCGCGAACGCCACTTACCGCATAAATCACCTACGATTGGTCACATCCCATTTGCAATTCCCAGTTTCTTTCTTGATTTTTTTTTTCTTTTGAAAATTATAATAAGACATCTATGATTTTGAAAATAATTTTTCGATGTTGTTTAAACATTTTGTTTACGCATCGTTATCTAATTCCCGAGTAGAATTTTTTTGGGAATTCCCTAACTCCAATTGGGTTTGTTTGATTGTTCGAAAAGCCCAAATTGGGCATTTCCCACCTCTACCCAATGAATTTTGATCTGCGTATCTTAGGGCAATCCCAAATTTTGCCTAAACTGCACTTCCCAACTACAATCTTATTGAAGAGTAATTAATGATTATTTAATTTATAAATAATAAATNATATTTTATCGATTCTTTCACGTGTTTGTTTTATTCTATTTAAATTTTTATAATTTATCCATAAAAAAAATGGAAACTTCTGCATTGGATGTATCCGTTGATTAAAGTTAAACGCATCGTAGATTTCGGACAGTACTAACAACACTAAATTTCCGAAGAATAGCGCTCCCTATCAAACGGACGTGTACTAAGGGTACATTAGTACTCCATGTATATACGCTCTAAAAAATAAAACACAAAACTCAATTAGAGTATGGTACCTTGCGTATTGAAATCCGATTTAGGTATTTAAACGCTTTTATGTGGAATTTTAGGTTTTAGGATTTTAATTGTATTCAAAATTATTTACTGTTTTCAGTTTTTGTACACTTGCAAATAATATAATACAGTATAACACATGTTTATAGTTACTTGTAATTATTATTTATTTTCATTTGATAAGCATTAGTAAATCGGTCAGTGTCTATTTATACTGTACAACTTATTGTGTGCGATAGTGTCGTATAGTTGACTAATTTCTGTATTTACTTTGAACATTAAACATGAACAAAATTCTGTTACTTTTTTTCCATTTTTCAATTCTGTGGTATTGTTGTAGATCTTCAGTAATGTTTGCTCTTTCGGATAACTGTAAGTTGGTGTTTCCTGGAAAGTAAGTAACAATATACGGGTCCATAATGTGTAACTTTTATTGTTTTAGCCATTCCGGGTTCTTGTTACCTAAAGAATAAAAATTTAACAATACCCGAAGGTAAATCAATTACAAATATTAACGGAAAATGCAACATGGTTACTTGTAATTATCCCATGGTAGATATTGCGATGTAAGACTGTTTTTACTTTCTTCAACTTTAAATTCAGATAATTTTTGTTTTAGGTGTGGAGTAGTGATAAAGATAATTGATGGAGAGGAATGTAGACTAGCCGAAGATTTATCCAAACCTTACCCAGACTGCTGCATTAGCGACAAATGTGCTAAAAATTAAAAAATAAACCATTTGTAAAATAAACGTTTTTTTATTATTTGAAATTCACTGTGGTAACGTACAAGTTCAGCAGTCACACGTCAAAAGGTTATCATCGAAAATGAAACGGATTCACGTTTAGTTAAGTACCACCGTATTATATACAGAGATGTGATTTGCTTGAAACAGTTCTATTTAAAAATTAAATGTCTTTATATTACATTATAAATGTCGTTTTCTAAATATTTGGATAGCTTTTAACAATTCCTTTTGAAACATAACCATTATCAATAAAAATTGTTTAGAACAGTGATTCTATTATTAAAAAATTATTACATATTAATAACAGTTTTATTATGGTGACCATTTCAGCTTTACGGGTAACAGTAGAGAAACTGATACTAAAAAAACACGCTTTAATAGCAAATCGAACAAGAAAACATAAAACAATTTTTAATTACTGATATTTTATTCAACATCCATATATAGTCTACTAACTCAATATACTTCAATTATTTTCAATTATTCTAAAATAAAAATGAAGATAAAAAGAAAATAAAAAACATATATATGATTATTAAA